CTCCTCAATCTCACTCTCAATTCCACTCCTCAAGCTCCACTCCTCAATCTCCACTCCTCAAGCTCCACTCCTCAATCTCCACTCCTCAATCTCCACTCCTCAATCTCCACTCCTCAATCTCCACTCCTCAATCTCCACTCCTCAATCTCCACTCCTCAATCTCCACTCCTCAATCTCCACTCCTCAATCTCCACTCCTCAATCTCCACTCCTCAATCTCCACTCCTCAATCTCCACTCCTCAATCTCCACTCCTCAATCTCCATCCTCAATCTCCACTCCTCAATCTCCACTCCTCAATCTCCACTCCTCAATCTCACTCCTCAATCTCCACTGCCTCAATCTCCACTCCTCAATCTCCACTCCTCAATCTCCACTCCTCATCCTCCACTCCTCAATCTCCACTCCTCAATCTCCACTCCTCAATCTCCACTCCTCAATCTCCACTCCTCAATCTCCACTCCTCAATCTCCACTCCTCAATCTCCACTTCCCTCAATCTCCACTCCTCAATCTCCACTCCTCAATCTCCACTCCTCAATCTCCACTCCTCAATCTCCACTCTCAATCTCCACTCCTCATCTCCACCTCAATCTCCACTCCTCAATCTCCACTCCTCAATCTCCACTCCTCAATCTCCTCCTAATCTCCTCCTCAATCTCCACTCCTCAATCTCCACTCCTCAATCTCCACTCCTCAACCTCCACTCCTCAATCTCCACTCCTCAATCTCCACTCCTCAATCTCCACTCCTCAATCTCCACTCCTCAATCTCAACTCCTCAATCTCCACTCCTCAAGCTCCACTCCTCAAGCTCCACTCCTCAAGCTCCACTCCTCAATCTCCCCTCCTCAATCTCCACTCCTCAATCTCCACTCCTCAATCTCCACTTCCTCAATCTCCACTCCTCAATCTCCACTCCTCAATCTCCACTCCTCAATCCTCCACTCCTCAATCTCCACTCCTCAAGCTCCACTCCTCAATCTCCACTCCTCAATCTCCACTCCTCAATCTCCACTCCTCAATCTCCACTCCTCAATCTCCACTCCTCAATCTCCACTCCTCAATCTCCACTCCTCAATCTCCACTCCTCAATCTCCACTCCTCAATCTCCACTCCTCAATCTCCACTCCTCAATCTCCACTCCTCAATCTCCACTCCTCGATCTCCACTCCTCGAATCTCCACTCCTCGATCTCCACTCCTCGATCTCCACTCCTCGATCTCCACTCCTCGATCTCCACTCCTCGATCTCCACTCCTCGATCTCCACTCCTCGATCTCCACTCCTCAATCTCCACTCCTCAATCTCCACTCTCAACCTCCACTCCTCAACCTCCACTCCTCAATCTCCACTCCTCACTCTCCACTCCTCAATCTCCACTCCTCAATCTCCACTCCTCAATCTCCCTCTCACTCCTCAATCTCCACTCCTCAATCTCCACTCCTCAATCTCCACTCCTCAATCTCCACTCCTCAATCTCCACTCCTCAATCTCCACTCCTCAATCTCCACTCCTCAATCTCCACTCCTCAATCTCCACTCCTCAATCTCCACTCCTCAATCTCCACTCCTCAATCTCCACTCCTCAATCTCCACTCCTCAATCTCCACTCCTCAATCTCCACTCCTCAATCTCCACTCCTCAATCTCCACTCCTCAATCTCCACTCCTCAATCTCCACTCCTCAATCTCCACTCCTCAATCTCCACTCCTCAATCTCCACTCCTCAATCTCCACTCCTCAATCTCCACTCCTCAACCTCCACTCCTCAACCTCCACTCCTCAATCTCCACTCCTCAATCTCCACTCCTCAATCTCCACTCCTCAATCTCCACTCCTCAATCTCCACTCCTCAATCTCCACTCCTCAATCTCCACTCCTCAATCTCCACTCCTCAATCTCCACTCCTCAACCTCACTCCTCAACCTCCACTCCTCAATCTCCACTCCTCAATCTCCACTCCTCAATCTCCACTCCTCAATCTCCACTCCTCAATCTCCACTCCTCAATCTCCACTCCTCAATCTCCACTCCTCAATCTCCACTCCTCAATCTCCACTCCTCAATCCCCACTCCTCAACCTCCACTCCTCAATCTCCACTCCTCAATCTCCACTCCTCAATCTCCACTCCTCAATCTCCACTCCTCAATCTCCACTCCTCAATCTCCACTCCTCAATCTCCACTCCTCAATCTCCACTCCTCAATCTCCACTCCTCAATCTCCACTCCTCAACCTCCACTCCTCAATCTCCACTCCTCAACCTCCACTCCTCAATCTCCACTCCTCAATCTCCACTCCTCAATCTCCACTCCTCAATCTCCACTCCTCAATCTCCACTCCTCAATCTCCACTCCTCAACCTCCACTCCTCAAGCTCCACTCCTCAACCTCCACTCCTCAATCTCCACTCCCAATCTCCACTCCTCAATCTCCACTCCTCAATCTCCACTCCTCAATCTCCACTCCTCAATCTCCACTCCTCAATCTCCACTCCTCAATCTCCACTCCTCAATCTCCACTCCTCAATCTCCACTCCTCAATCTCCACTCCTCAATCTCCACTCCTCAATCTCCACTCCTCAATCTCCACTCCTCAATCGCCACTCCTCAACTCCACTCTCAACCTCCACTCCTCAATCTCCACTCCTCAATCTCCACTCCTCAATCTCCACTCCTCAATCTCCACTCCTCAATCTCCACTCCTCAATCTCCACTCCTCAATCTCCACTCCTCAATCTCCACTCCTCAATCTCCACTCCTCAATCTCCACTCCTCAATCTCCACTCCTCAATCTCCACTCCTCAACCTCCACTCCTCAACCTCCACTCCTCAATCTCCACTCCTCAATCTCCACTCCTCAATCTCCACTCCTCAATCTCCACTCCTCCATCTCCACTCCTCCATCTCCACTCCTCGATCTCCACTCCTCGATCTCCACTCCTCGATCTCCACTCCTCGATCTCCACTCCTCAATCTCCACTCCTCAACCTCCACTCCTCAATCTCCACTCCTCAATCTCCACTCCTCAATCTCCACTCCTCAATCTCCACTCCTCAATCTCAACCCCTCAATCTCCACTCCTCAAGCTCCACTCCTCAAGCTCCACTCCTCAAGCTCCACTCCTCAATCTCCACTCCTCAATCTCCACTCCTCAATCTCCACTCCTCAATCTCCACTCCTCAATCTCCACTCCTCAATCTCCACTCCTCAATCTCCACTCCTCAATCTCCACTCCTCAATCTCCACTCCTCAATCTCCACTCCTCAATCTCCACTCCTCAATCTCCACTCCTCAATCTCCACTCCTCAATCTCCACTCCTCAACCTCCACTCCTCAACCTCCACTCCTCAATCTCCACTCCTCAATCTCCACTCCTCAATCTCCACTCCTCAATCTCCACTCCTCAATCTCCACTCCTCAATCTCCACTCCTCAATCTCCACTCCTCAATCTCCACTCCTCAATCTCCACTTCCTCAATCTCCACTCCTCAATCTCCACTCCTCAATCTCCACTCCTCAATCTCCACTCCTCAATCTCCACTCCTCAATCTCCACTCCTCAATCTCCACTCCTCAATCTCCACTCCTCAATCTCCACTCCTCAATCTCCACTCCTCAATCTCCACTCCTCAATCTCCACTCCTCGATCTCCACTCCTCGATCTCCACTCCTCGATCTCCACTCCTCAACCTCCACTCCTCAATCTCCACTCCTCAATCTCCACTCCTCAACCTCCACTCCTCAACCTCCACTCCTCAATCTCCACTCCTCAATCTCCACTCCTCAATCTCCACTCCTCAATCTCCACTCCTCAATCTCCACTCCTCAATCTCCACTCCTCAATCTCCACTCCTCAATCTCCACTCCTCAATCTCCACTCCTCAATCTCCACTCCTCAATCTCCACTCCTCAATCTCCACTCCTCAATCTCCACTCCTCAACCTCCACTCCTCAATCTCCACTCCTCAATCTCACTCCTCAATCTCCACTCCTCAATCTCCACTCCTCAATCTCCACTCCTCAATCATCTCACTCACTCCTCAAGCTCCACTCCTCAAGCTCCACTCCTCAATCTCCACTCCTCAATCTCCAATCCTCAATCTCCACTCCTCAATCTCCACTCCTCAACCTCCACTCCTCAATCTCCACTCCTCAATCTCCACTCCTCAATCTCCACTCCTCAATCTCCACTCCTCAATCTCCACTCCTCAATCTCCACTCCTCAACCTCCACTCCTCAAGCTCCACTCCTCAATCTCCACTCCTCAATCTCCACTCCTCAATCTCCACTCCTCAATCTCCACTCCTCAATCTCCACTCCTCAATCTCCACTCCTCAATCTCCACTCCTCAATCTCCACTCCTCAATCTCCACTCCTCAATCTCCACTCCTCAATCTCCACTCCTCAACCTCCACTCCTCAATCTCCACTCCTCAATCTCCACTCCTCAATCTCCACTCCTCAATCTCCACTCCTCAATCTCCACTCCTCAATCTCCACTCCTCAAGCTCCACTCCTCAAGCTCCACTCCTCAATCTCCACTCCTCAATCTCCAATCCTCAATCTCCACTCCTCAATCTCCACTCCTCAATCTCCACTCCTCAATCTCCACTCCTCAATCTCCACTCCTCAATCTCCACTCCTCAATCTCCACTCCTCAACCTCCACTCCTCAATCTCCACTCCTCAATCTCCACTCCTCAATCTCCACTCCTCAATCTCCACTCCTCAATCTCCACTCCTCAATCTCCACTCCTCAACCTCCACTCCTCAATCTCCACTCCTCAATCTCCACTCCTCAATCTCCACTCCTCAATCTCCACTCCTCAATCTCCACTCCTCAATCTCCACTCCTCAATCTCCACTCCTCAATCTCCACTCCTCAATCTCCACTCCTCAATCTCCACTCCTCAATCTCCACTCCTCAATCTCCACTCCTCAATCTCCACTCCTCAATCTCCACTCCTCAATCTCCACTCCTCAATCTCCACTCCTCAATCTCCACTCC